ACCATTAGACGAAAACGGAAACATCACGTAAAACGCTATCAGTGCACCGTCCAAAAGAGTGTACCAGGTATAAAAGTACTTAATCATTCGCATTCGGGTGAAATATTTGTGTATCAGAAGGATTCTACTTGTACTCACGTGTAGGTACTGTGGTGCCCAGAAGTGGATATCGCGGCAGAAGCGGGCGGCTCTGCGACGGAGGAGGCTGAGGCTCTGCGACGGAGGAGGAGGAGACAGGCTCCTGGACAGCGGAAGATGAAGCAGAACTGGAAAGAATTTGAACCCGGCATATAGGCACGTACAGGGTTGGGCAGAAGTAAATTGGGACAAATTTTAACTTCCTCTAAAACGACTATTTTTTGAGTGATAAAGATAATTTTTGAACATAAATATAGGCTAATGAATACGTTTCCGTGTTATGCAGGTTGCGTTGCAATTTTGAGTCGGCTGGTCACAGAACGTGGGCTTAAGCAAGCCACTATCAACTTAGTCCGCGCGCACATGCGTGCCAATACTCTAATTATGCTCCATCAAATGGCTGAAAGTAGTGTGTATCGAACAGACGTAAACGTTGGAGGAAGAGATGATATTGACTCATCCTTACATACCAATTGCATTGACACCGGCCGCTCCCCCGGTTCTCCAGGGGGGCTAAAAGGCAAAATTCAGTTAAATCAGACGATCCTCGCGAAAACAGTGGCGCGAGCTTACAACGAAGGTAGCCGAGCCATGAGAAAGCGATATACCAGCATCTCAAACATGTGCTCTTATGCATTGATGCAATGCATATCAACCTGTCAACATAGATGTTGAAGCAGCTGTGACGTTAAAAAAATTGTTTCCTCTTGAAGGGCTTGGAGAAGCGAGCAAGCACGTGCAGGTCTTTTTCGACGACGGTATCCCCATAACCGAACATATGAACAACCGCAAACACCATGTAACATCGCAACCAGCCCAGAAGACGTGATCTTAGTTCCAAAAAGAATGCAGCAGACATCGGTGATGGTATTCCACTCGGTGACTTCCATGACGGTCACGTGGGGCCCCCTTATTTTACGGAACCGGGAGGGGGTTCGCCATTACAGGGTACCTAACCATTATTCCGGCAGTTCGAATCAACAAGATGAAAGAAGGCAACATCCTGCATAGACTGATGCTCTTCGAGGAGTCAGCTCCCCGGCATACAGTGAATTAAATACAAAATCTCCTGAAACGGAGGATCCCGCAAACTGTACCCAAGGGACTGTACCCAAACTGTACCCCCTTCCTCATTAAACCTCAGCCCACACAAGTTCTGGTTGCTGGGGCGTTTTTGCGGGTGAGCCTAACGAACGTCCCCATATGACTGTGGTGAGCCTCAATAGTGCCAGTTGGCTACAATTACGAGCCATTTCAGACGGGAGATCTCGCCGCGCGTGCGGCCATTCCAGGCACCGATAAGGACTGATGCAGGTGGACCACGGTGACCATATTTGGTGAAAATGTGTAAAATTGGTGTGACAATATGTGATCCAAATTTGAAATGCCTATGTTTACAAATTTCTAAGCTACGGCGTTCTAAATGCAAATATGTATTTTGTCCCAATTTATCTGCCCAACCCTGTATCCGGAAATTTATGGTTGTGAGATCTAACACAAAACACCCATATCTATTTAACAAGAACGTGTTACAGTTGTATCGGAGCCGCCGGAAACGTCACATTTTGTTCTGAACCAGGGGCTGGAGATAAAGTTGTTGGTGTTTTGAAGAAAAACGGGTTAGACGCCGCCCATATTGGTCATTTGCGCAGCCGCACACGTATGCGGGGGAAGGAGAAAGTCGATCGGACCCAGACCGTTCGGCCTTTAATCGAGGTAAGGCTTCACAAAAAGAACGAGCATAGATATTACCCGTGACGAGAGCAAGCCAATGATACCCAACTTAAAGGTACTAGACCTCATTTACTGACCTTCCAGGTCAGATCAATGACCCGTTGGGAAAATTAGGACCTGCTAGAGCTCCGTAAAGTGAAACTTATGGGAGCTCTCGGGGGGGGGGGGGGGGGCTGATCACGTATTTCATGTTAGTTTTGATCACGGGTGATGTTTTCATGCATTTAAAGGAAATAGTTCACATTTTAACATGGGTTTTGAACTGGAATAGCAGTTCCGTAGCTTGGGCTGAGACGAGCATAAATCAGGAGCTTTTACAGCCCAACGATCACCCTAGGCAAAGATATTCTATTTCTCGTCCCGAAAAATGTGTGTTGCGTTGAGGATGTGTGCCTTGCATATATTCGCATCCAGTATGAAACGAGCATGGGTCCCGAAAATTCTTCAGAAACTAGAGAAATTATCTACGAGAACTCTAGAGAAATTCGCTCCAGTGAGGCGCTCCAGATGCGCTCCAGTAACAAAAGCACGAGCAGATCGCCCAAATGCCGGTGGCCGCGATAATTTCTCTATAGTTTCTGAAGAATTTTCGGGACCCATGCTCTTTTCATACTGGATTGCGTGTGCCTTACAGAAACTGAAAAGTTCTTCCTATATCAAAAATATAGAAAATAATCTTTTGTTGTAAAAAGGTTTTATTTTCTTTGCTGATCATTTTGAACATAAAAAATCACAAATCCATTGCAAAAAAAATAATTTCGTGAAAGTGAACTATTTCCTTTAAGCTGGTCGGGGCAGGTCAGGTAAGGTAAACCAGTAGGCGTCCTGCCGACTATCCGTAGGTGTCAACTACTGCTGACAGCGTCGTAACATGTTACGAAGGCACTAAAACTACTCCGTAATTCTTCAAATGGATGCTGAATTCGTGATCAACCCGAAAACTAGGTACCCTAGAAACATGTAAAACTCGAAAAAGTGAACCGAGGTCATCAAAGGTCAATGACCTGACTGAACTTCGGATGACCTTGACACTCACCGTAATGCACGGGACGAACAGCATATCACATGGTTGGACGTTTACAATCACAGAAAGACTGGAAACGCGGCACGCGCGGATAATGTGAGCTGACACTGGCAGCGGCGACCCTCAGCTGTCGCCCTAGACTAGACCTTTTTATATTGCTGATATCAGGGTGGGCGGTGTTCCCCAGAGGGCGGTGTTCCCCCGTCTTCCCCTATGCAAATTGCAACATGACCTTTTCCGGTCAGGTTGTTTTTTGACCTGAGGTCAAATTTTAAGTTGACCTCTAAAGGTCAAATTATAATACATTCGATGCATCTTGTCGAGAGGAACACGATATTGCTTAAAAAATAAGTCATTTAACCCTCGCGGCTCGCCCGTATAGGTGTTTTCCCAGCCGCGAACGTAAGGGGGGGGGGTCCGTTGGACCCCCTTGCCGTTTCGCCCCTGATCGAGCTAGAACTTCGGGGAAAAACGAGCGTGTTGCCCATGACGAGAGGAAGCCGATGATACCCAATTTTCGTTAGTTTTGATCACAGATGATGTCTTCATGCATTTAGGCCAGATCCGCAGATCGGGTCAGGTCAGGTCAGGTCAACCAGTAAGGGTATTCGTAGTAGGTGGCAACCGCCTCTGACAGCTTCGTAACATGTTACGAAGGCACCAAAACTACATAATAAATTTTCAAATGGTTGCTAAATTCAAATTCAGCTCCAAAAACCACCCGAGAAACATGTAAAACTCGAAAAGTGAACCGAGGTCATCAAAGGTCAATGACCTGACCTGACCTTCCGGTGACTGTCACCCACCCTGATGCATGGGAGCAGCATCATATCCCATGTTTGTACGCTTAAAACCACAAAAAGACAGCAAACGCGCGGCTAATGCGAGCCGACATACGCCGAATCGCGATTCCGAACATGGTCTCGAAAAGTAGGTCACAGGTCAAAGGTCATTAGGGTTAGGGTCATGAAATTTTCAGGGTAGGTGTAAAATTGATTAACGCGAGGGTACCTACTGAAAGTTTCGTCGCGATCGGCCGCTTTTTACGCGAGTTTTTTCGCGAAAAACCGAGGGGGTGCGTTCGACCCTTTACACGGGCGAGGGTTAATACGGCTATCGAATGCGATTTTCCGCGGCGCTGTAGCTCTATTGGTTCCCGAGTTATGCGTTGGCTTCTTGGAAATTGTCGACATTTGACCTGAAAATCGGCGAAATTTTGGCTTTAATGACCTCTGGTGACCTGACCTTTGACCTGACCAAAAGTCACCGGAGTAATTTTCTCACTGTTTTTGGCGCTCTTTCGAACACCGCTTTCCGCGTATCGCTACGTGGCCCAGGAGCCGAGTGAAAAGGGGAGGGGGGGGGGGGGTGTTCAAACACCCCCAGCAGGGCGTGGAAATCCAGGACCCCCAGCGGGGCGCGGGTCCTGGATTGCGCCTTTCCCCGGTCTACCCTACCATGCATCAGGGTGGGTGTCAAGGTCACATAAGGGTAAGGTAAGGTCAATGACCTTTGATGACCTTGGTTTCTTTTTCGAGCTTACATGTTTCCACGCTAGTTTTGGAGCAGATTTCGAATTTAGCAACCATTTTTTTTTTTTTGAAGACTTGCAAAGTAGTTTTGGTGCCTTCGTAGCATGTTACGGAGCTGTCAGTGGTGATTGACACCTACTAAGAATACCCGGTAGGACGCCTTTTGGTTAACCTAACCTTGCCTAAACGCATGAATACATCATCGTTGATCAAAACTTATACGAAATTCGTGATTAGCACCACGAAAAACTCCATAACCTCACATTACGAAGTTCTGACAGATCTCGCTTTTCCCAACTTTTGGGTCATTAACCTGACCTGGAAGGTCAACCAATGACTTGGGCCTTAAAAGTCCTCTCGTCACTGACAGCACGCTCGTTTTTCCGCGAAGCTCTAGCGCGAACAGGGACCGAATGGCAAGGGTGGTCCCCCCCCCCCCCCATAAGTTCGCTGCTGGCAAAACACCAATACGGGCGAGGGTTAAGGAATCGCACAATAAGCTTGATATTACAGCCGATACTAACCTAACTTACCGAGCTTGAACATTTGAAAAAGGCATAGAAAGAAGAAGATAAAAGTCGAGCTAGACTTTATTACACTTCATTACAATATTCTTACAAACTGGATACACGAGCTTGGAAACATACACGTGAAAACGAACGAACCGAATATCGACAGGTAAAAAAGCCGTTTCGCAAAGTCGAATGTATCAAAGGGAATGCAGAAAACGAGTGCCAAAACAGAGATCACGAGGTAAAATGTCATCAGCAGTAGCACTGCCCCGCCGTGGAAGACGCGGTTGCACGATGGGCACCGATTTTCGTTTTAGAGAGGCACTTGAGGGAAGGCACCGGTTCCCTATTCGACGCATGTGAGACGGCCTAGACTTACAAAAGTACGGCGTCCACCTCTACAGTAGGAGCGAGGAACGACGCCCAAATTCCTACATATTATCCCCTATTATCGGCATGCAGCATTCGTGGGCGTTTGAGTGCCACACGGGCTAGAATGGTACGCAAGGATATTGCAAGCCTCGCCTCAGCACCGCCGACCACTGAAGGTGCCTCCATGCACAAGCACCGAGAAGACCGCGGTCCGACACACACACATACACACAGTCACTACTCGACGGTCCGCTGAACCATGGCGGCAGCCTCGATCAGTCTCTCAGCACACACTTCCCGTAGCGTTATTCGCCCCTGACATCGCCACGACTACACAGGGCGATCCCAGAGTCGCCGAAGCTGAGTTTGTTTGTAGCTAATTCCCCAGCGTCGCAAATCCAAGGAACAGCGATAACGCCAAGCGGCAGTTTCGGGCGAAATGTGCGTCCAATTCTTCACACATGGCATGAACATCGGCGAATATGGTCCCCAGCAGGCACAGAAGGGCAATCTATAGTCGTGGGCGCTCCCTTTCTATAATCTCATCTTGCAAGACTTCAGCACGCTTTAGCACGTTTCAACGCACCTCAAACTAAGCGGAAAACGCCGCAGGCAGCATGACGCTCCGACAAGTCCACGGCACTGTCGGCGCTACCGCGGCAGGCGACCGGTCGGACTCAGTCGCGTGCGACTGCGCTCTGCCGCGCTACGCTACGATACGCCGGCCCGGCACACTGAGTTCTGGCCCGACTGGCGGGAGGGTGGACCGGCGGTCGTGTGCGCCGGTGTGGCGCCCCAGTCCGTTAGAACAGGCCCACGTCCTTGAGGTTGTGCTTGATGATCACGTCTGTCACGGCATCGAACACGAACTGAAACAAACGACAGGCAAGTGTTTAAATACACCGTGCAAGAAAAAACGACATATGTACGTACATCCATAAAAAATTCCAACACAAAACGGGCGAGAATCTTAACCCGGGTCCGCCAAACTGAGAACAGCTTATATATTCATTCGGCAATTAGCAAACCCGACAGACTTTATCTCCGCAATTTTACTGTTAGCCCTTCCCACAATACTGAAATACACAATTTCATACAATCCAGGAATATCTAGCTCTCAAAAGCAATCTCAAAGCGAATGTACAGTATCGAGATATTGTGTAAACGCACCTGAATGTTGTTGGTGTCTGTTGCGCACGTGAAGTGGGTGTAGATGTCCTTCAACCCCTTGCGCTTGTTGAGGTTCTCGAACTTCAGCTGTATGTAGGACGCAGCCTCCTCATACGTGCTGGCTCCTGTGCAGCGAGATTGGTGCATGTAAGCCACATTATCGCAACAAAGCGCGAAAATGAACAACGAGTGGCAATGCAGAGCAGCTACGACAAGCCAGCTTCCCATGACATGACATGATGCACATTTGCACACGGTTTCAACGTAGTGGTGCACTACGAGTCGTACAAAACAGCACAGACAAGACAAACACGCAAAAGAACAATCCAATGTGTTGGCAAAGGAAAACGGCGCGCAAAGCGTTGGAATGGCCTGATTCAGTTATCGTAGCGTACAGTCTGTCTTAAAAGTAGGTACCGCGCAAAGTGACGGTGGATCCATCAAGCCTGACCGAGGAAGGGCGTGCTATAATTTGAAAGTCACCGAACTAAATGACCTGTGGCATGGACGAGGATGTCCATTGCTTCGGTGACTCAAATTTAGCACTCCTACCTCGGTATGGCTTGACGGATCCACCGTCACTTTGCGCGGTACTTTTAAGACAGACTGTACACTATTCGATAAAAGTGCATGTCCCTACCCTCAGGATCACTATCCGGATGTTCTATTTGCGAGAAAATCGACCAGCCAACCGATATACTTTATTGCCAAACACGATTCATGACGATTCATTATACTCCGTTACGTTGCTGGTCATCACACCCCGTCATAGCTTGGGAAATTCCACTGTCCCCCGCTACCAACCGTTGTACTCCGGGAAACAGGTGGTGAGTGGACTGCGGGCGGCGCTACCAACCGTTGTACTCCGGGAAGCAGGTGGTGAGTGGGCTGCGGGCGATCTTGGCCTCGAACAGGTCCTTCTTGTTGAGGAACAGGATGACGGATGTGTCGACGAACCACTTGTTGTTGCAGATGGAGTCGAACAGCTTCATCGACTCGATCATTCGGTTTACTTCCTCGTCTTCCGCCAGCACCAGGTCGTACGCTGACGGAAACCGAGACCATTGGTCAAGTGAGACGAAATGCGACGGACGGGAAAAGTGTTCAGTAACTGGGTTGTTCGTTATTGAAGTGAATATGTTAAAATATTGAAAAGGTAGTGATAATGAAAGTTTTGCAAAAGGTTATAAAAAAATAAAATAGCATTAACGGATGTCGTTAGTTCGACCGTTATGACAATCAGTTTTGATAACCACACTGAATTCGGCTGAAATAATAGCGGATCCCAATGACGCGCACAACTTGTTCAATGGATTGCTGGACAAATTCACAATATATGTATAAACTCGGCCACACGATCCCGGGTCCCCGCCAAGTGTCGTCAATCTCTGTTCGTTGCGACTAAAGGGGACTGGCATACTACATAGCAGTGACCTAAAATTTGTTGATTTGGGTGTGAAACGACAATATCCCAATGAAAATCATTTTGCACTCTTACCACCAATTTTTTTTCATAGCAATTTTTGCCTCCCAGTTTCACCGAGGAAAGCATTTGAGAGGATGATCGTTTTACATCATACATTTTGCCACACTTCTATTGTTCTATTGTTCTATTGTTCATGCTATCTATCTGTTTTCACTCTTTTTGGGCCTTACCTGACCAGCTATTTTCCACTCTCCTCCCCCTTATTGCTGATAAATTTCTCCCTCCGACACCCAATCCAAAATGCAATTCTGGGACACTGCTACATAGCGCACTCCAAAGAAATCGCTGTGCAGGTATCGCCACTCACCCGACATGGCCACGCAGAAGATAATGGCGGTGACGCCCTCGAAACAGTGAATCCACTTCTTCCGCTCCGAGCGCTGGCCACCGACGTCAAACATCCTACACGGAGCCGGAGGAAAAATCCGTCAGCGATAACGATATTAGTGACATGAAACATCTTAGGAACATAGCAATCATAGCATACAAAAAAGCAACTAAAATAGTAACCTTATAGTAACCTCTTTGATAAAACGACAATCAGTGTAACTAAACTAACATCATTGGAACATAGCTGGCAATCAAAGTGTATGCAAACTTGTAAACTATTTGCCAACTATGCTGTGCTTAGCTTAACTCTTCTGGCTGCATCAACATAATTCCGAATTGATAGCCAGGATCACTAAGAGGCTTATGGATATACTCCGAGGCTTTTTAAAAACTGCAAACCGACCCACATTCTATCAATAACCAAATCACATCACCGCCGTAGCCACCTACTTGAAGTTGAGTCCTTTGAAGCTGAACTTGGTCTCCACGATGCCGGTGGTTTTGACGCGCGTGCGCAGCACGTCCTGCTGGGTGGGCACGTAGTTGCTCTTGGATATTCTGTCGAGCGCGTTCAGGTAGTAGGCGGCCGAGTCGTTGAGCTGGTACTCGCGGGAGCGGAGGAAGCAGGCCTGCACGCCGCCGTCGGCCCACAGACGGCGCATGATGTGCGCCAGCTCGGGCGTCATCACACCCTCGTCAGTGGCCGAGGCCAGCGTGAAAAACTGCCGCGCGTCGTCCTGAAACCCGTCGGGGACCAACATCAGTGAGCTTCCTCCATTGAACCCATGGAGGAGACAGCGTTAAAGGCGGACAGCCGATTTAGATAACGAAGGGAGTTCTGATACTTAGATAACGAAGGGAGTTCTGATTCTGAGCTAATCGATCTCGGTCACCCGAATAGTGCTGATATTTTATTTTTCATGGCATTCACACGACACTTCTGCTCTGATCAGTCTTTGAAGTACAATAACATAGGTAATACCAATCAGTCATGGCCAATCTTGCCCTTTAAAACCAGTTCAGGGCGTTATAAATAGATCACACACATACGGGAAAGCATCATGCTTTGGCATAAACGAAAGAAATAGGAAAAAACATGGCGTGAAAGGTAAACAGGGTTGAGGGTTCACTTTTAAAGCGGGTGCCATGCAAGATGTGGTTTTAAAGAAAGTAACGAGGGTAAAGAGGCACACATTCGATGCTATTACACTGGCACATTAGCAAAACATCTTCCGAGATACAAAAGTATCAAATCCAGGACAAACACAAAACTGTCAAATCCAACCATTCCAATTTTCAGTCACTTGAAATAGGAGATAGGAAATGCCCGCCACTCATCATCAAATCACAAACGTCCGTAATGGCAAAGACCCCAATCACGCAACACCAATGCATTTCGACACGCTTGCTGATGCGACGAGTGTTTGTAAATAATACACTATGTCAAAAGACTGCGCACATATGTGTAATGTCTACACGAATGAGTAATTGCACTAGTCTATAAACTGCCGACCAAACGATCAGGGCCGGGATCTGGGAACAAACGTCCCCTAGCGTAGGCCAAGGCGTAGGCTTTGGCTATGCCTCCCATTCGTTCAGACCTCAGACATTCGAGCTGAACTCATAAAAAAATAGGCGCCAGATAACAAATAAACAGATCATGCATGATGCATCTTACGCCACACTGCATGCAAGCACAACTTTCAGCAAATGAAACTTACAAAGTTCCCGTTTCCGATGCTGATAAAGATCAAAATAGTGACAGAGCGGCACTCAGGCAAGAACAGCAATGCGTAGAAAGGCAATATGTACCAATGTGCAAGTATTGGCCACAAGGGGTCGTCTACAAGGCTGCTAACAAGGAAATGTTTGACTGCATTATACAGTTTTTGCCGTAATGTTTATTTCTTTAAGATACTGTGGCTGCTTATCAATGATATGACGCATGAGGAAGCAGGTGCTATCAAGACTCTCCGGTCCGATGTGAGCCCGTCATAGACCATGACAAACTCACAGACACAGGAGCTCGAATACAGCTGACGAAAGCCCGGACTCGGGAAGGACAACGCGAAACATGAAACACTGTGCACACGCGCAATTAAACAAACACTTGGTAGCTGGCAGGTTAGTGTAGAAGAAGCGTTGCATGCTGAGCGCAGAGATATCAGTAGGCGAATACAGGAAAAAGGCAAGAAAAAAAGTTAACAGATTACCCATTCTTAGTACCTATACCAAATACATCTGACATCCTGATTTATCAGCACAAATTGGGTTACGCTCAGACGATACGATACACGTTTCAAGAACGTAGCCCGAATTTCCGAAGATATGCATAACGTACCTTCCTCATCGAGTCAGCGAACTCTATCCTGAGATGACCCATGGCGCGGATGATAGCCATCAGACTCTGAAATGGCACGAACTCAATTAAAACTGGGCAGACAATCAGCGCTCCATCTTCAAGTAAGAGCTACGCTTTGGTCTACCCCTCACAAACCACCTGACGAGACAGTTATTCGCCAAAACTTAAATAAAAAAACGAGAGAACAGACCAATCAACCACGAACACATTTAGCCGAATTAGCGAAATGACCTTGACATCCAAAAACTATAGTTTAACTTCATCTGCACCAGAAATGACTATGAAAAGGTACAGAAACATGCAAAATTTACAACCATTATAATTTATTTCTTCCAATGTTTTCTTTTCCAAGTTGATTTTCCCTTCCAATGACGCACCTGAATGGTATTGCTGAACACCACCGGCCGGTACTGCTCACACTCCTCTCGGCTGTAGCCCGACTCATGGATGATCTTCATCTGCTTCACAATGGTGCTCTTGCCTGATTCTCCCGCTCCTTTGGAAGGTGAAAACGCAATAGCTGAGCAAAGACGTCACACAGATTTGGTCGTCATGTGTTTAGTTAAAAAAGTGGACAGAAAAACTGCATCCCATCAACTATGATAGAAAAATTGTCAGAATCGAGCTAAATCCCTAAAACAGCTAATTGTTCTATAGTTCTCAGCATAAACATGTTTAGTACTGACTTTTTTAAAAGAAATATCGCAAAATTTTTAATGGCTGGGTTGGACAGATTCCCAAGCCTAGAGCGCATGCCAAACAAGCTTGTTGTGCAGGCTCTGACCCCCGTCGTCGCACCGGGCGATTCTGGGCAATCGGGAAATGTAGATGCCAAAGCATAGTGTGGCCATCCGTGGCCATCCATTGAAACTCCTGACACCGCATAGGTACATCCACTGATACCCGTCAGCGCTTCTTCACTACGTTTTTGGAATCGTCTTCCCATTGAAACTGTTCGCGCGAGTGATCTACATTTGTACTTTCAAAAGACTGCTGGAGTATGACTTAAAAGATGAGCTATTGGGAATACAGACTAGTGTTGTTTCTGTACCATGTTGTGTCTGTTATTTCTCATTCTTCTGCTGATCACACTGATACAGGGACACCCACAACAGACACATGTATTGTATATTCACTTTGCTTACTTCACCGGAAGACGCATTTGCCCAGGCGATATCACTGGCTTGACGCACTGCCATCCCTACTACTCGGTCTGGCGCGTCTCTTCGATGGGATTCCTGTCCTTTCCTACACTCACCTTTTTTCACCCATAACTGACTCTACGGTAGTGATGAGGAGCCCAACCAGGTGAGTGTGCGTATCCGTCAATCAGAGCCGGACATATTCGTCATACTCAACCGACTTTGATTGGCTGTGACTGCGCCCTCTAACCACAAATCGTCCCCGGCAGAACTGATATATCGAGCGGGGGTCGGGGACTCGAGCTGGTGCCCTCACTCTCACCACCATAGTCCAACTTTTTACCAACTGTGACACTGGACGAGCATTTGTACTAAAGCACTTTGCCAACAGAAAAAAACAAGACTTCATTGATAGCATTATCGTTTCTAGATCTAGTCAATAACATCATTTCTCATAAAACATTACTGGTTACTTACCGAGAAGGAGTAGTTTGACCTCCCGGGCAGCCTGCTCGCCAGCCATTCGCAGGTCCTTGTCAATCTTGCGTGAGATGGCAGCTGCCTCTTTGTCCATTGTGCTGATAGTGCAACCCATGGTTGCTGGTCTGAGAGGTCCTGCTGCACAATGTGCTCAAGATGACACCAGATTTGCAGAGCGCACACCAACCCCTATTGAGCCACGACCATGTGTAGTCGGGCACCACTCTTGTTCAGCTGGATCCTCTTCTTCGATCCTCTTCTTACTGTTGATGATTGCCAATCTGCCAACACATCAAATGATTGGCACAGGTTGAGACACCTGCAAATACACTCAGATTACATACATCATCATGGGAACAGTTATACCATGGAAGTTTGACTAGCAAACACTGTTAGGTACCTATGTCCTACCGAGGAAAACATCAGTAGAATTTTCATGATGCAGGTAGTCCATAACTGAAAAGGATAGTGTGGTGGAATAAGAGGTGTACAATCAGACCAGTGTAGAATAAGGGGATTTATTGGCCATAAATAACATTTAGAGCACATCCCTAAAAAACACTTTAATCCTTCATCGCATTTCATCATAATGTTAACTGATGACAGGCAGGTTTCCTAGCAGGTTAGCCAGGTGGAATCTGAAAACATGGCACCTGAGGCCTGAGGGCATTTTTTAGTTATGAGATTATCAGAATATTTTTTCCACTTTTGATGCCTTTAGCAGACTAATTGTCACATGATTAGGTCAAGTAAATTTCAAAAGCCTTAAATAAATGCCCACAGGCGCCCTGTTTTCAGATTCCCCCGTTAGCCAAATGTGCCAGTGGAATGTTAAGAATAAGTTGCATTATTTGATATGGGCTGGTGTTCATTGAGCCCCCTTGCCAATTGGTGTGGGACAGCACTAGCTTATCAATATTCACTCAGGTTGGTTTGGCTCATTGACTTGCCTGTTAGGTTTTGTGGGTAAACTACAGAAGCAGCTATATGAGCAATTAACACCCTCAAAGAACTGCAAAATTCTCCAAAGAAAAACAAATACAATGAACACATCCTTCTAAGCTTTAAAAATGACAACTAATAGATACTAACAATACTTTTCCATAAAAAATAAGTTACTATAAATCACCACAGTCAGGTAAGGTTGAGTAACATTTCGTTCGGTTAAGTTAGATTAGTAGTTTTACATATGATGATATGTTAACACTTATTAATGCTCCTGCTGCCACATTTTTTAATTCAGCTTAAATGTAAGAAAGGACAATTGACATAGCTAGAACCCACACCAACAAGTGCTTGTTGTGCAGACCACAACAATGCCTACCTACAATCATAGCAGGTGAAATGGGGAGGGCACTGGGAGTGGGGCACAGTGCCCCCTTTGATTTTGGCATTTTAACAATAGCCCTATGGGTGTCGCATAGAAAGAATGGTACCAAAAGTCAGCAGTGCCTCCCTTAATTGAAGGTGTTCCGCCGCTACTGCCTACAATCCGATCACGCAATTCAGGCAAAAGGTGTAAATTAGAGGGGTGAATTTAGACCCGTGTAGAATGTAGAATGTGTCGATTGACTGTAATGGCACTTGGAAAGGATGCTTTCCAAACAATTCATTCAAAAGAACTTATTTTCCTTCATCGAAACTGAAACCGTTAATTTTGAGCGAGAACTTCCCAACCCAAATACCCGGGCAGCGCTTGTCGAACAGCACTGCGGATCCGAAGGTTGGGACTTTAATTGTGAAAAACCGCCCGCCCGCCGCAAAACCGCAAAACGCGCAAAACGCACGACCAAAACGTCAACGCAAACTCCGCAAAAAAAAACAATCGCCCGCCCGCCGAAAACCGCAGAAAAAAACGCAAAACAACGCCGCCAAAAACCGCCCGTCCGCCGCAAAACGCAAACACCGCAACAACGCAAACACCGCCGCCGCAAAAACAAACCGCATCGCCCGCCGCCAACGGCGAAACGCCGCAAAAAACGGCCGCCCGCCGCAAACCACAAGATCGCCGCAAAAAACGGCCGCCCACCGCAAACTGCAAAACGCCACAAAAAACGGCCGCCCGCCGCAAATCGCAAAACGCCGCAAAAAACGGCCACCCGCCGCAAATCGCAAAACGCCGCAAAAAACGGCCGCCCGCCGCCAACCGCCGCTAAAACGGCCGCCCGCCGCCAAATGCAAACACCGCAAAAACACCCGCATAGCCCGCCCGCCCGCCGCCAAACACAAAAACCGCAAAAAACGCAAACACCGCCGCAAAAAAACGCCCGCAACGCACGCACGCCCGCCGCCAACCGCAAAACGCCGCAAAAAAACGGCCGCCCGCCGGCAAACGCAAACACCACAAAAAACGCAAAATCGGCCGCCCGCCGCCAAACGCAAACACCGAAAAAACGCAAACACCGCCGCAAAACGCACGCCGTCCGTTAAACGTAAACACTGACGCATTAAGACAAATATGGCGCCTTGCGGCAAGTGTGGTGCATTCATATCTGCCGTTTAGCAATCCCTCAACCAAAGAGCATCCTAATCGTCCCATGTTCGATAAAGCTGCGCACATTCTGTGATTTGCGGCAAAAATGACGCTTTGAGACAAACGTGGCGCACTGCAACAAACATTGCGCATTCGTTCGTGTCGCTTAACAATTCATCCACCCACCAAATTCTAGCCCAATCGGACTTAAACTGAAAAAGTTACGTACATTTGAATATTTCACTATAAAATATCTCCGCAACGGAGGTGCCCAGATTTGCACGTGTGCCACGTGACCACCGGTGGTGCAAGCAGGACTTGTCCCCTCACTGATTGCACCATTTCAGTGTTCCTGGCTTGTGCTGTTTTCGTGCTATAAGGCCACAAATCGGCAAACACACGATAATCTGGGAGGTACGCGACTCAAACACGTGGCTACGTGGCACGTGCCGGACCTTTGATAGCTTCACCGTTCACGCCACGTGATGACCCATCGACGTGGCCATCAGCATGTAAAAGATGACCCCGGCCGGTGTCAACGTCCCTGAACAGTGGACGGCTAAACTCGAAAAACGGGAAAATTTAGGGAAATTTCACCTTTCGAATATATAATTTCCCCAGAATTTTGAATTTTTCATTTTACAAAAAATCCGAGATAGCAGTTTTTTAGCCCCCTTCATTCTGTGCCTATACCCGTTTTCAGCTCGACCCTATCATAAAAACTGACGGCCTGACGGCTATTTCCCCCATTCCTTGCATTTCACAATGCTAGTATATTTAAGCACCAAAATTGACCCCGTGCCACGGCACGTGCAATAGCACGTGCGCCACGTGACCACTAGTGCGACAAGCTGGACTCATCTGCTCACCGGCTGCGTTGATTTGGTGTCGCTAGGTGGAGTGGTTTCCACGCCATAGGACCCCCAGTTGGCCAATGTCGGATTTTCCCGGAGGTTACCCCATCAAACACGTTTGCACGTGGCACGTGCTTTTCAATCGCCCCATATCTGACCCATACCATGTGGTAGCCGACACCCCGGGGCACAACATATTGGAACATTTTCAAAATCTAACGTGGAAATTTTTTGCAAAATCGATTTGAAAATAATTTTTCAAATTCGCCATAGGCTCAACATGGGGTAACTGTTCGTGACGATTACCCGAAATTTTGTCAATTATATTTTAAATAATTACCACCGTCAGTTGGGGTGCCTGCCCGAGATCCGATCCTAAAAATATCAGCAAATATAATTGACGAAATTTTTCGCAAATCGAATTTCCAATTTTCCCCCATGTTAACCCTATGGGAAAATGCACGTGCGGATTACCCCAAAACGGGTTAATTATATTTCAAGCGACCGGTACCAGCCGGTAGCTCCCCCATACGGGACCAAACGCTGAAAATGGCAAAAAATTCTACCGTGCCGTTTTTGAGGGATTCAAAATGACCCAAATCGCGGCAGAAACGCTAAACACCCCCCTAGAGAGGTAGCTCAGGTTGGGATTTTCAATAGAAAATCACAATTCTAAAGAATAGTGATTGTCTAATTGAAAAGTCCCAACCTTCGGATAGGCCCGGGCAGCGCTTGTCGAACAGCTCTGCGAATCCGAAGGTTGGGACTTTAATTGTGAAAAACCGCCCGCCCGCCGCCAAACGCAAACACCGCAAAACGCACGCGCAAAACGCAAACGCAAACTTCGCAAAAAAACAATCGCCCGCCCACCGAAAACCGCAGAAAAAACGCAAAAAAACGCCGCAAAAAAACGCCCGTCCGCCGCAAAACGCAAACACCGCAAAAAACGCAAACACCGCCGACACAAAAACGCCCGCATCGCCCGCCGCCAACGGCGAAACGCCGCAAAAAAACGGCCGCCCGCCGCAAACCGCAACAACGCAAATAACGCCCGGCCGCCGGCAACCGCAAAACGCCGCAAAAAACGGCCGCCCGCCGCAAACCACAAAAAAACGCCGCAAAAAAACGGCCGCCCGCCGCAAACCGCAAAACGCCGCAAAAAAAACGACCACCCGCCGCAAACCGCAAAACACCGCAAAAAACGGCCGCCCACCGCAAACCGCCGCTAAAACGGCCGCCCGCCGCCAAACGCGAACACCGCAAAAACACCCGCATCGCCCGCCCGCCCGCCCGCCGCCAAACACAAACACCGCAAAAACGCACATACCACCGAAAAAACGCCCGCATCGCACGCCCGCCCGCCGCCAACCGCAAACCGCCGCAAAAAAAACGGCCGCCCGCCGCGAAACACAAACACCACAAAAACGCAAAAACGGCCGCCCGCCGCCAAACGCAAACACCGCCGCAAAAAACGCACGCCGTCCGCAAAACGCAAACACTGACGCATTAAGGCAAATATTGCGCCTTGCGGCAAGTGTGGTGCATTCATATCTGCTGTTTAAGCAACCAACCCTCCATCATCGCATCCTAATCGTCCCATGTTCGACAAAGCTACGCACATTCTGCGCTTTGCGGCAAAAATGGCGCTTTGAGACAAACGTGGCGCACTGCAACAAACTTGGCGCATTCGTTCCTGTCGCTTAACAATTCGCCCACCCACTAAATCCTAGCCCAATCGGACATAAACTGACAAAGTTATGTTTATTTGAATATTTCACTATAAAATATCTCCGCAATGGAGGTGCCCAGATTTGCACGTGTGCCACGTGACCACCGGTGGTGTAAGCAGGACTTGTCCCCTCACCGACTGACCCAATTTAGTGTTCTTGGCTGGTTCTGTTTCCACGCTATACGGCCAACAGTTGGCCAAAACACCATTATGTGGGAGGTACTCGGCTCAATCACATGGCCACGTGGCACGTGCCGGACCTCTGATAGCTTAACGGCTCACGCCACGTCATGACCAATATAAGTGGCCATCGGCATGTAAAAGACGACCCCGGCCGGTGTCACCGTCTCTGAACAGTGGACGGCTTAACTCGAAAAACGGGAAAATTTAGGGAAATTTCACCTTTCGAATATATAATTTCCCCAGAATTTTAAATTTTTCATTTTACAAAAAATCCGAGATAGCAGTTTTTTAGCCCCCTTCATTCTGTGCCTATACCCGTTTTCAGATCAACCCTATCATAAAAACTGACGGCCTGACGGCCATTTCCCCCATTCCTTGCCTTTCACAATGCTAGTATATTTAAGCACCAAAATTGACCCCGTGCCACGGCACGTGCAATAGCACGTGCGCCACGTGACCACTAGTGCGATAAGCTGGACTCATCTGCTCACCGGCTGCACTGATTTGGTGTCGCTAGTTGAAGTCGTTTCCACGCCATAGGACCCCCAGTTGGCCAGTGTCGGATTTTCCCGGAGGTTACCCCATCAAACACGTTTGCACGTGGCACGTGCTTTTCAATCGCCCCATATCTGACCCATACCATGTGGTAGCCGACACCCCGGTGCACAACATATTGGAACATTTTCAAAATCTAACGTGGAAATTTTTGGCAAAATCGATTTGAAAATAATTTTTCGAAATCGCCATAGGCTCAACATGGGGTAACTGTCCCTGCCGATTACCCTAAGGAAGTATAATTATATTTTAAACGGCCACCACCGGCAGGTGAAGTCCCGACCCGAGAACCCACCCTAAAAAAACAATCCATTTCTAACGTGGAGTTTTTGCGCAAATCGCATTTGAAATTTTCCCCCATGTTAACCCTATGGGAAAATGCACGTGCCGATTACCCCAAAACGGGTTAATTATATTTCAAGCGACCGATGCCAGCCGGTAGCTCCCCCATAGGGGACCAAACGCTGAAAATGGCAAGCAATTCTACCGTGCCGTTTTTGCAGGGATCAAAATGACCCAAATCGCGGCAGAAACGCTAAACACCCCCCTAGAGAGGTAGCTCAGGTTGGGATTTTCAATAGAAAATCACAATTCTAAAGAATAGTGATTGTCTAATTGAAAAGTCCCAACCTTCGGATATTTCTTTCAGCCTTAGGGCTTAGACCCTAACTGATGCATAACAAGCAATCACTATCATAATTAAGTTTCCAGCTACCGCATTCTCACAATATACATATACCTTGCACATAACAAACCTTCAATAAACACTTCTTGCTTACTTTAAAAATAAAACGCCCACTCCGCCCTTGGAAAATTTTTGAACCAATTAGTGCGCCAGAATTGCCTTGCACTTAAATGACAAATTCGATGTCAGTCAATCTAATAGTAGTTTGATATTCACAACCTCCTTACCTCTTGGCGGCAATATATTCTTTTGGGTTAGATCGTATAAAAACTTTTAGGTTAGATTTCTCTAAGGCTATGATTTGATTAAAGGAAGACTGCCACCTTCGAAAAGCTCGCACAAGCCCATGCATTAGGGGTCTTAATCACAAAGATGATAAAATTGAACAAAATATAATTTTTTTTTTCATTTTTGGCCCCACGATTCGCTGTTCCTTCTTGTTGCCAATTCAAAAAATGTATCAGTCACTTTCAGGGCATATTTTAAGGCACTTACTGCGTCCCATTTTGGGGCGCAGCCCCCTAGCCTTGGGACGTAGCCCCTGCTGATTTAACCCACTGCGTCCCTGCCCTGTCCGGTTCCCTGACCTGTGCCCTGCTGTCTGCCCTGTCCTGTACCCGGCCTTCCCTCTAAAATGTCCTGTGCCATGCCCTGCAACCTGCCGTGCCCTACTTTCTGCCCTCCTCAGTGCCCTACTCTGTTCCTTGCCCTGTGCCCTTAGTCGTAGCACGTGCCCTCTGCTCAACTTTGGGACGCAGTAAAAATTTGTTAAAATATGCCCTGGTCACTTTGCAAGAAACTCTTTAAGCTCCAAATAGGACGGGACTGAGAGATGAACGAGATGCGTAAGTTACTCTCTCCAAAGACAGCCAGATACCCATTAGCAGCATACTTCACACCGCAATCGTGTATGGCCTTATAAATAAATTGGGACATAATGGGTAAAACAATATGAGTAGGTAGCTTATGAGGAAAAATAGTTTACAGTCAACATCATGAACAGACAACAGTGTTGAGTCTTGGTGAAAAAGGGGTAGTTAATTCGAAAATTAAAACAGACATCAGTGACTTTTTATTGTTGGATTTTGCTTGAATGCACTTTTGGTAAAAGGAAGTGATCCTAAATTCAATTCAACAATAAATAGAAATCCGAATATGATTCTTACTACACGGATGGTTGGAAAAAGCGTTGAAGGAAATTTGTAAAAAAAAAGTGTCTGAAATATGATGCTTATTGTAAGCGGTAAAGAAATTGCTTTTTAAAATCTTTATTACTAATTGCAATAATAAAGTATATAAAAATTTTAATATAAATATTTATAAATTTGTTTTTCAAAATACCTAAATCTGAAGTTTTGCCTTAATTACAAAATATGACGTCAAATAAAGAGTGGTTTGAGCTTATTTTAGTCGTTGTTTTATTGAACAACCTTGACCATCGCTAATCACAGGAGAGGAGTGCACACCTTAGGGGTGGGTTGGGTTACTGAAAATTACATATTATTGGGTATTGCGAGGCGTACCAGCTCCCGTCTGATGTGTTTGCATGGTGATTAGACTGCGAGTTACCCGGAGCATGTGGAGTTTGGAAGATTCTACTGTCAGAAAAGTAGATTCAGCGAGCTTATTGAATGGGAATGAAGTGTTGGGTGAGGGTGGTCAGTAGGCGGAACTATGGTCAAGCGTACCCATTTTCGGGAACGCATTTTCGTTCCCATGTTTGGGAACGATAAACCCAAATATGGGAACGCCATGTAGGCATTATTTAAAACAAGAAAAAGAACCGTTAAATGACGTCCAAAAAATATAAAACGATCGTGAACCGCCTGATATTTGTCTCAATATTGTTGGGAAAGAGTTTGATATTGTAAGGCCCATCGTAGTTTCAAATCGTTCCCCTATTTCTAAAGCAGTCCATCATCCGGGCCGCGAGCCCAAATTTGGGAACGCTCTCGTACACTGGCGCTGCAAGCGTTCCTTATTATGGGAACGGCGTACCCAAAATTGGGAACGATTTCACCGACGCCTTTCAGGGGCTCTTTTCATTAACAAGCATCACGTCCAACGCCGCAAATTATTGTTAACGCAACAATCATCAGATGACCTTTCCGGCAAGACCGTCGCATGTTTCGCCCGGTCTTCTGCGCTTTTATTCCCGTCGATCTCGCAGCGGGCACGCCCCCCTCTGCAGGATACGTAATTCACAACGCTCAGCGATGTTCAACAAGGTCTTCCATACCTATATCCACCGTCCGCGCCGAGGGTGGAGACATGTCAAGCATCTGTCTGTTTATCACCGATAGTTGACGAGCACAAGGAAGTATCCAAAAATGGGAACGCTGAATATGTTACACCCTCAAAACACCTAGTCCCAATGAAAATCTAGTTTTTTCCTTTCTTGATGAGTGTAAGTGGCAAAAGGCCTGGTAGGATGGGCACGAGGAATGATCGAAATCAGCATAAAAACTATAAATAAGCCACACAGAGCGACCTATATAAGAGAAATTCCCCCAAAACGATCACGCTTAGAAACACGGAAGACAAAAACCACGCTCATGACGCTCCTTATAAAACAACTCTAAACAGCTAGCATCCAAAAAAAATATATCTTTCTGGGATGATAAAATACAGCTGAATAATTTTAAACCACTGAAACTGAGTTTACAACAGTAGTTCGGTAAAATCACTGACGTTCCATGCGGTCGTGCGCCCCGACACCAAATGTCACCAATATTACCCCCGGACTGTCCGCGTGTTCGCTTGCATATGTCAGCATCTGGTGTCGCTAGTATGAAACTTCATAACCAGGCGAAAATTATTATACTTGACCTCAAAATGTAAAAAACGCTTCATTTTCCTTAAAATTGCAAGTTAAATGTAGTATAACCCATGTTTTCACCATTCCGTCATTTCAAAAAATCATTAAAAATATCATTCGACGGTCAATTTCCTTGTGCAACGGTCAGATTAAAGATAATTTTATAGAGACTTAGTAGATACTTAAATTAGCGTGCACTTTTTTGAGACGTGATGCACTAATGAGTTTTAGTGGGCGAACGGCCGAAAAATTACCTTCCGTTCCCATAAATGGGAACGCCCGTTCCCATATTTGGGAACTCCGTTCCCAAAAATGGGAACGTTCCTATATTTGGGTACTCATGACCATAGTTCCACCTACTGTGGTGATTCAGGCAGTAACTTTTACCTAAGAAGCTTTGCAAGCTGCTATGGTGATGCACATTAGGGTGTATCGTCGAATTTTGATTTTTTTTAATCATCTTCACTACTAAATTTTATTGGTCCCTGGCATGTTTGAAGCCGTAGGATACCAATCAAAAAAATCTGGGACGAAAACCTAGCCTGCTGCGAGCGGTTGAACGGAGGCCTGTCGGGACGGCGCCAGGCGTTGAAGTCTCCCCGTTAGTTACGCGCACACTAGCACCACGCGGCGGCTGGCGCCGTGCCGTCGCGTTCCCGGTCAGCCGTGTTTTAGCGTTCACTGACGGGTCGAGGTGATTATTCTAAGCTTTCCTAAGAAGCTTTCTGCCCCGCAGCTCATTATTGAGCAAGAATATCGCACAAACTGCATAGAACATTGACATGCAGGTTGTCGGCACATATGGAGAAGGGGATGTTTTGGTTAATGCCTCCTCTAATAGGAAGAGATTGTGGAAGAACAACACATTTCTCTTGGAAATTACTCATCCTCCTTCTTCCTACGTGCCTGCTTTAGTAATCGAAGTACCCCTATTGACTCTACGTTCTTGATTCGGCTGTCGATTTTATGCATGGAATTCCGCTATATTATATTTTCTCGCTCAATGTCTCCTGAGCTATATTGAGGCGTCACGGGACAGCAATGCTCAGCACACAACTGCAGAGAAAAAGTCAATGTGGTCATGCGTTTTGTATGCCAAAATGTGTGAGCCTTGGCGTGTACCAGCAGCCGTTGTCACCATTGTAATTTTCACGACTTTATCTTTATAAGGATGCAATTGCCCACTTCCCAGTTCCCAGACTGGGTTTGGAGATATAGTTTTACAGAAACATTTAGGAATGTCTGTAATGTAAGTTAAAAGCTAATACCGAAAGGAATCCACATATTTTCGAATTTCCTGTTTGCTGTATTGCTTAGTAAATGTCAGACGTCATGATGGCATGGTTGCGATTGATGGTATGCCGGATGGCCAGGGTACGAACTCACGGTAAGTCAGCTTGGCCGGCAGGCATCAACAGGCACAATAGTCTTACACTGATATCGTCACCCTCAGTTATTCGTCACCATTCAGCAAGCCCAGAGCTTCGGGCTTTGAACCGTAAGGCACAGGTGTAGCAGCAAGACATTGCGCCGATTCGAAGGGCTGGAAGGGCAGCATCGCGGGGGCTGGAATGCGCCTGAGCGGCTGAGACCATCCCATTGGGACGGGGGTGTTCTGGGTGCACTCAGCCGCTCATGCTGGGAAATGCATCCAATGGAGCTCTACCCCATCCCCACCCGTTTCGAATGATTAGGCTGACCTTTAGTCTAGAACAAAGAAGGATGATGGTTGGCTGGTCCCGAGGATAGAAAGGACAGGTAATGACATCATATAATGAATCGAAGACGGCCCCGGCCCGATCCTCTGATAGAGGCTCATCAACACGTATCTCGTTGTGGACCATTTCGTTTTCCTCCACCGTGGTTTTTGCACCGACCTCAACGGGTTGGAATATTACGATGTTCAGAAACCATTAAGGTCGTAATTGTATATTCGTTGAGTTAGGTTAGCCTTTCCATTCCATGAAGACTACTTTATAATTATTGGATGATAGGATGAGGTTTTCACTGTGTTGAACCTGTCCTACCTGCTCAGTGAACGAATATACAACGAATATACAATTACGATCTTAATGGTTTCTGAACATCGTTACCTTCCAACCGGTTCAGGTCGGTGCAAAAACTACGGTGGAGGAAAACGAAATGGTCCACAACGAGATACGTGTTGATGAACCTCTATCAGAGGATCGGACCGGGGCCGTCTTCGATTCATTATATGATGTCATTACCTGTCCTTTGTATCTATCCTCGGGACCAGCCAACAGTCATCCTTCCTTGTTCTAGACTAAAGGTCACCCTAATCATTCGAATGGAGAGCTCCATTGGATGCATTTCCCAGCATGAGCGGCTGAGTGCACCCAGAACACCCCCGTCCCAATGGGATGGTCTCAGCCGCTCAGGCGCATTCCAGCCCCCGCGATGCTGCCCTTCCAGCCCTTCGAATCGGCGCAATGTCTTGCTCCAGATGCTCCTACACCTGCACCTTACGGTTCAAAGCCCGAAGCTCTGGGCTTGTTGCTGAATGGTGACGAATAACTGAGGGTGACGATATCAGTGTAAGACTATTGTGCCTGTTGATGCCTGCCGGCCAAGCTGACTTACCGTGAGTTCGTACCCTGGCCATCCGGCATACCATCAATCGCAGCCATGCCATCATGATGTCTGGCATTTAATAAGCAATACAGCAAACAGGAAATCGAAAATATGTGGATTCCTTTCGGTATTCGCTTTAACTTACATTACAGACATTCCCAAATGTTTCTGTAAAACTATAATATCTCCAAACCCAGTCTGGGAACTAGGAAGTGGGAAATTGCATCCTTATAAAGATAAAGTCGTGAAAATTACAATGGTGACAACGGCTGCTGGTACACACCAAGGCTCACACATTTTGGCATACAAAACGCATGGCCACATTGACTTTTTTCTGCGGTTGTGTGCTGAGCATTGCTGTCCCGTGACGCCTCAATATAGCTCAGGAGACATTGAGCGAGAAAATATAATATAGCGGAATTCCATGCATAAAATCGACAGCCGAATCAAGAACGTAGAGTCAATAGGGGTACTTCGATTACTAAAGCAGGCACGTAGGAAGAAGGAGGATGAGTAATTTCCAAGAGAAATGTGTTGTTCTTCCACAATCTCTTCCTATTAAAGGAGGCATTAAAACATCCCCTTCTCCATATGTGCCGACAACCTGCATGTCAATGTTCTATGCAGTTTGTGCGATATTCTTGCTCAATAATGAGCTGCGGGGCAGAAAGCTTCTTAGGAAAGCTTAGAATAATCACTTCGACCCGTCAGTGAACGCTAAAACACGGCTGACCGGGAACGCGGCGGCACGGCGCCAGCCGCCGCGTGGTGCTAGTGTGCGCGTAACTAACGGGGAGACTTCAACGCCTGGCGCCGTCCCGACAGGCCTCCGTTCAACCGCTCGCAGCAGGCTAGGTTTTCGTCCCAGATTTTTTTGATTGGTATCCTACGGCTTCAAACATGCCAGGGACCAATAAAATTTAGTAGTGAAGACGATTAAAAAAAATCAAAATTCGACGATACACCCTAATGCACATAGTGTTGCTGTAGGGCCCTTTATAGTCATTGTTGCAACCTAATTTATGGCCCTGTTGCAAGTTTAGCAGTGTGCGATGAAGAACGAGACAGAGTAAGGAATGGTGAGGATAAGATGACACTTGTGGGTTGCTACCTTGGCAAGCCACAGTTTATTTAATTGAACTCTTCTGTGGGAGGATTGGATGGATTTTTGAAAACTGATCAATCATCAAGGCTTCAAACTGGACTTGATGGAGCTGGAGAACATCGTGGCCAACACGGTCTATCTGAAGGCCCGAGAAGGTGAGTCTGGCAGGGTGGTTCAGAAATAATTATGTAATTGCAAAGTTTATGTTTCAGTCAAATATGATTATAAACTGGGTATTGGGCTTGGACACGTGCATAGATCTGTTGGATGGTTACTGATCTGATCTTGATTCCAGGGGATCAGGGCTCCACAACATTTTCAGGAAGGAGAGGAGGGGGTCCAACCTCAAAACGCAAGATGTGTCACTTTATACATTGGGTTGCACTGCAGCAACAAAATTACTTAGGGATCTGAACCCCAAGGACCCCTGCCCTTGGTGGCTTAGCCCATGCAGGAGATCTCACAACAAAATGAGCCAGGGCTATGATCCCATTGGAGGCTACTTGAAAAATATGTTATGCACATGATATCAATAGACCTTGTGATAGGCCAAGGGCAATGGTCTGTGTTCTTGATCTATGTGGATAAAAAAAGTGCATTGTGAGCTGTAATCACTTCAGATCTATCTAACAGAGCTCTTCCAAACTGCAAGAAAAGTTTCCTCAGACATCACTGGATAATGCTAGGATCCATGATCTCACTGCATTTATTGACTGTCATGACTAGATCTATGACACCAGTGGACCCATGATAACTTTGAAGAGCTGTATCTACCAGTTGAAGATCAATATTGGTAGCAACTGATCCCACATCTATCTATAATATCAGACTCATGTACACCAGTGTGGTTTACATTCAAATTGATACCCACCTACTCAAAGATGGTACCTATCTATCTTACATTAAGGATCAGTAGTTTAATGTGAGCCAATAGTTTAGGCTGTGACAAGCCTAAAGGGTTGTCATTTGCTGTTCAAAGAATGGAATGCTCTAATGTTGTGTTTGATGTAAAATGTCTTGAATCAAGTATGCAAAGTGTTTCAACCATGGAAAACACCTTTTTTGCTTTTGTATGCAAATATCATGATGCAGTGGTCAAATGGGATAAGTCTGGCAATTTGATGCAATGATTTTGTGCCAGTCAGCAGCCAAAATACGATATATTCACCTTCTTTCAATATGTGTATAAATTTGACTTGTATTTGTTGATGGCCCTTTTTTATTGAAGCAGGTCAATGGGTTCTCAAGTGCTATTCTTTCACAGTGGTTGTAATACAATGTTCATTGTGCAGCCCAGATATTTAAGTAAATTTCTCTTCTCTTATTCCAGAGGTCCATTCTATCAATAACCTTGTCTGAAAGCTAGTTCCAAGATTAGGTGTGATGTTTGCAGGGCAACTATTTCCAGTATCAGTCCAAGAAAGTGGAAGATTGATGACAAACTGATATAAAGTTTAATAAAACCCACAAACAAGCCTACTGAATGCAGAATTGAGAATGCCCTGGTCCCATAATATGGCATCCAATGATGTTTTTGGGCCAAAGCATTGCACTGTCCTTAGCATACATATGTATCATGCCCAGTGTTCTGACTTAGATACCCAAAAATTCATGTAATTTTTTAGACACGATCGATAAGCGAGAGAGGAAATAGGAATATTAGCACTGAAGGAAATTACCAACTCGCTTTGAATGCTGTTTTTCAGTCGAGTTCAATGCTGGCCTAAAGTGACCTCAGTGTGCACCCTGCTGGAGGTATTTGAACACTTCGTTTTGCGTTTTTTCCGCGAATATCTAAAACATGCCACCATTGTGGCACAAGTTATCATTCATCTTTCCTGTGCGAGCTGCAAAAATGTCAGGCCCAGGTAGGTATTTAAAGCCTCAGGTCACCAGATCACGTTAAGTGGCCCAACCTCAGAATGCTCCCGATGATCGTCATACCTAAACCTAGTGAACGATCGCTTTTAAACTTTCAGTGCTATATGCGAGTGACAGTATATATGAAACCTACACCTTAGAATTTTAATAACAATGACCTACGGCCAAGTCAATTTTGCGGCCTCTCAATGAGGGGCACTAATGAGGGGTCGGACGGTCGGTCCCCCTCACTTTTTCGCGAATAACCCGCGCAAAAAGCGGCCGATTGCGACGACACTTTCAGTATTCTTGAGTTATTGTACCTACACCTACCCTTAATATTTCATAATCCCGACCCAAATGACCTTTGGCATGTGACCTGTTTCTCAAAACCATTGCACGTCGGAATCGCGATTGGGCGTATGTCAGCGCACATTATCCCAGCGTTTCCAGTCTTTTTGTGTTCGTAATTATTCTAGCATGTAAAATGATTATTCTCCCATGTAGTATGGTGGGTGTTAAGGTCATGTGAAGGTCAGATCAACCGTCAATGTGATTTACCTTAGATGACCTCTGTTCACTTTTTGGAGTTTTACATGTTTTTCATGTAGTTTTTGTTGCTGATTTCGACTTTACACCCATTTGAACATTTAAGAAGTAGTTTTGGTGCCTACGTAGTACGTATCATGTTACGAAGCTGTCAGTGGTGGTTGAAAGGTTACTTTAGATAGCCAGCAGGACGCGTACTGGTTGACTTGACCTGGTCTGACCCGAACTACCCTGAATGCATGAATACGTTATTTTTGATCAAAATTAATATGAAATTCATGATCAGAACCCCGGAAACCTCTTGGCAACTTCAGTTAACGAAGTTCTAGCCGGTCCCGATTTTCCCCAGTTCCGACGTTCCAGTCATTAGCCTGACCTGGAAAATCAACGAACGAACTAGAACCCTAAAATTGGATATCATCGGCTTCCTATCGTCACGGGCAACACGCTTGTTTTTCCTCGAAGTTCTGTGTTGATCAGGGGCTGACCGGGAGGGGGCCTTACGCCCCTCCCCCGCTACACGTTAGACGCCGTAAAAAGGCCAATACGGATGAGGATCAAGTCAAAAGAACAAAATTGAATTTCGTCTCTTTTGGACAATAGTCAAACTAAACACTCTCAAACAGCATTTAACAGGTAGGTAACTACTGAAAGATAAATCGAGGCAGGCAAGTTTTACCTATAGGTACCAGCGGTTTTCAGCAACAACTTCTGATAGAGACGTACCAGAGCGATGAGTACACCTTGGATGTGTTAACGTCAACGAAACGGATTGACTAATGTGCAATATGATGTTTTTACCGGTCACGTCATGACATATAACCCTGACCATGCTTCAAATTTTCAAATTTCAAGCTGACCAAGCTGTTACAAAGCACGAAAACGGCAGTTTTCACGTTTATTTTGCCCTCTGGAGGCCAAACTCTTGACCGATCTAAGGATAGCTCGATTACATAGGCGGCGGAACGGGGAAAGCACTGGGGCACCGTGCCCCCCTTTGATGTTGGCATTTTAACATTAGTCCTTTGGGCGTTGCATGGAAAGAATGGGACCAAAAGTCGGCAGTGCCCCCCCCCCTCCCCTTAATTGAAGGTGTTCCGCCGCTGCTGCTCGATTATAGGTAATACCTTGGACCTTGGTTAAATCTGAGGACACTTTAGCGTCTAGCGAAGGAACTTTGCTGTTCAAGCTTGGGCTGCAGGTCTATGAGCGCTTAAAGGGAGATAATGACCTTTTTCCACAAAATCTGAGTTAGGATCATTTTCTGACAAAACACAACAAGTTATAATGTAAATTAAAACCATTTTGCTCAATGCGGTACCTTGCCGCAAATATCTCAACTTGAAGTCACGTTAGCGGGGAGCGCTGAAAATGACCGTTGAATAAGTACTTACATCACTTTTTGGTACTTGCATGTAATTTTGTAAAATGAGCGTATTCCTTACATTTGATCTTCATCACATCTAGTTAGTTAATGGTCGTCTATAGTGCCTTCAAAAGATATTCATGGTTTGGGGGTGGTTTATGTCTAAATTTACGCAACTATTTTTCCTGTTCATCATCTGAGGCCATATGCTGCTATTTTAGTAGCAACGACTCAATTTTGAATCGGTCCCGCCGACTGCACAATAAAAGAAGCCTAGATACAACACTTTTGCGGCATCACTGAAAAACTTATGCAGTTCTGTTATCAAAATTCTCATAACACCGTTCGACAAACCTGAAGTCTTTTTGAAATAAATATGCTTGTATTTTTCGCTTCAGGCTCTGAGGCCAAAATAATGAATTTCGTAGTCGCAATCGCAAGATTTGGCTGCGTTTCTGGCGCATGCCGTTCATTTGTGGCGCAAAATAATACTTGGAAACAAAGAAGAGTAGGCACTATGTACGAATCTAATTAATTCTAAACCGAATTAACTCTAATTCAAATTAGAATCCTTACAACCAAGCAACGACAAGGCGATAACATAAACAAAAACCCAAGCGTCGCTGTTTGAAACAAAAGCGCCATATACTGCGACTTTTTTATAGAGAAGGACAAGAAGGACAACGCATTTCGGTGGGTGTTACAAGTACTGCAAGTACTGCTTCTTTTTTGCAAAAATAAAAACCTTTTTCACATACGAAAATGTGCTAGGAAATTTTCATATTTTATAGAAACTACAGTAGAAATAGTATAGATGTCGAGTAATTTTTATTAAAGAAAAAAGAAAGCTCATTATCTCCCTTTAATTATGGGGAAAACGCTTAATTTTGAGAGAGCTATTTGTAATAGAACTTCAGGACTGGCTGCCTTATAGTTATGTAATGCCGGAAGCTGGTTTCTATTTAGAACAGATGCATTTAAAATTCTTTCCTAGAAGTCCGCGGTGAAGTACACGCTAATTCGCAACCGCATGGACAAGTGATGCCTAAGATTCTGATCAGTGTTCGAGAAACGGCAATCCTAGTGAGGACGCTTTATCGACTCCGACTTCAACTCCCCTTCATTTGCGACGACTCTGGGCCACTTTGACTCTGAACCCCTTAATGTTATCCCCTGTACTTATCACTAATCCGGGCCTCAGAGTCGTGGTAGCGGTGTCGAGATTCTGGACTCCATACCTCCGATCAGCTCTCCATACCTACCTCATAACCCTTCCCTGCCGTTTGACCCCTGATAGAGGTACACTTCGCAGAAAAGACGAGCGTGCTGCCCATGACGATAGGAAGCCGATGCTACCAAATTTTTTAAGTCCTTGGACCT